TCCTATCTCCAATAAACCACCAGAAAACCGGAAGTGGCGCTGTAGCTCAAGTGGTAGAGCGCTCGCCTTGAGCTGAAGAGCTGAGGGGCAGCGCCCAGGCCCAGAGTTCAAGCCCCACGACCGACAAAAAAAAAAAAAAGTTCAGAAAGCATTCAAGGAGAAGAAGCAGTTGTCAGAGGAGGCATGGTAGGTGCACATAGATGTTCTCCTTCTGTCTCGTAGACATAGCAGAAGTGGGTGGGTCATAGATTTAGACTCCCATCTCCACGGCCTGCTTGTGACTGTGGAAAGGGTGTAAGAGAGGCCTTTTGTTGATGTCCCTTGTAGACTTGTGTCCCTTCATTTGTAAATCTAAGTAAGAGTTAAGAAAAATTCTTTCAGGACATTAATTGAAGAGAAGAAGTAATATAAGTAAACGGCTACTATGACAACTTCTACTAAGTGCTATCCTGCTTCAAAGAGCTTTTCACTCTCCTAGAATAGTAGCACTTCATGACTGATGATTGTTTCCTACCTAGTACTCACTAATAGAATCACACTTCGGGAGTTTCAGTAGTAGAAAAGTAGCCGGAGCACCACTGAGGTTCCTCTCAGAAGAAAAACAAGGCAGGGGAGGAGGGGAGAAGGACTCAAGGCAGGTACTAGGTTCTCAACAGCATGGCTTCTTGGCTTGGTTGCTTACCTGGCTTCTCTTTCTTCCCTGCGTCCGCAGTATCCACAGCTGCCAAGATGAAAATGAATGCCAAGAAGGCGGCTGCAAATTTTCGACGCTGCTGCTGGTGTTGTTGGAACTGCATCCTGGGAACAGACAGAGAGAAGAAGGTGCCATCAGTCGAAGCTCGCCATGAAGGACTCCGCTTTCCACTGCTGGAATGCTGGATCTCAGGAAGATGCACGCTGGTGATTGGTAGTGCGATGATTATTTTACCTTTGCTCCTCAGTGGCTGTTGATATAAGCGCCTTCTGCAGTTTCCTATTTACTGACCAATGCAACAATTCCCTAGCTAAGACCTCACAATGGTGTTCTAGGTATGCTTCTGGGGCTATGAAAGGAAGGCATGTATTTGGGTAGACCCCTGCAGTACACTTGTCTGGTAGCATTTTGTGGTATTAACAGATAATGCCTGGTTCAGAATTCCCAACCATGTCTACAAACAACTGTTGCTTGATAGGATGTGATGAATAGATTTTCTATGCAATTATGTTCATTGTCTTTAGACACATTCGGTAATGAAGAAGGTCTCTGATCTTTATTTTTATTTTTTTTACCACTTTCCATAATCATTGCTATCATCTGACCATCATTCCATTAGAGGGGAAATGTTTTCATTTTATAACTTCCAATCTCTTCTCTTGAAAAACAGCAGATTGGAAGAAGAAAGCTTCTCTTTTCTAACACATTTGAGTGGAATCTAGAACTTTTTAAAAATGATCTTTAAGTCATTGTACAGAGGGGTTATGACTTAACATGTCAGTTTATGGATATAATAAATACACCTTGAACAATGTTATCCCTTTCATAATTCTCTCCCATCTGTCCCAATCCCACCTATCATCAATTTTCCTAGTTCCATTTTCACATATATATATTATATATACATATTATATATATACATACACTGGATATTATTCCTGTATTTGCCTACCCTTCTTCTCTCCATTTGTCTGTCCCCTCTTTTCCTCTCCCCCCTGACAAAATTTCTTACAACTTCCTGATATTCATTTAGTTAAACTATAAGTTAGTTATTCAAAGGAGTTGCACCATGGAATCCTTCCCTGCATCTATCATAGATTAGTCCATTTGTTGGCTAAAATCAAGAATTTCTAAGATACCAACTAACATCTGAGCAAAGGACAGGGCAAGAATGGTGGAAAGTGTTCCTCAGTGATTTATTTGGAAGGACCAATACAGGATTTAGAGAGAAAGGTTTTGACTCAAACGTCAATTCCATCATTTATTTTGGGAAATGCCTTTGAATATGAGATGTTTTTGACATCTCCCAAGTGTGAATGCTTTGTGGGACTCCTAAGTAGTAGCATAAATACTAAAGAGGCTATCATTAAGAATGTAGCGCTAGAGATAATCCAAAATATTAAGAAATATATTATTCGTTCCAGAATAGAATTGACTCCATAGCTTTCTCACTAACATATGAAGTGTCTCAAAAGGCCCCAATATTGAAAGTTTTGATTATTGTTGGATGCAAGCAGGCAAGTTTGGGGGAAAGTATTTGAATCATGAGGGCTCTGTCTTCATTAACTAAAAATCCAAAATCTGACTCGACTGTTGAGAAGGGGAGGGAGTACGTGGGGAGCTGGGCCTTGGTTGGAGGAAATAGGTCAGTGGAGTGGACCTCCCATAACTGATGACTTTCTTGCCCTGAACGCCCTTCCTTCATGACACGAGCAGATCTGCTCCCCTAGATACAGGTCTGCTATGATGTTCTGCTTCATCATGGACCAGAAACAGCACAGCCGGACAACAATGGGGTGTAACCTCTCAAACTTAAAGCCAAAATAAGTCTCTCCTCCTTTAAACTGTTTTTCTTAGGCAATGAAAAGTCTGACTGAAACAAATTGCCTCTTTTTGTTGTTGAGAAAAGGAAGAAGCATTATTCTTTAACCAATAAAACAAACACATTTCAAATGAAACAAAACAAAAGAGGTAGAGATGTAAAGGAATGAAAATCAACTAAGTTTATTCAGCCTATTGGGATACTTTCATGGGGCGGGGGAGGGAGCTGGTCCTGGGGCTTGAACTCATGAAGACCCTGGCACTGTCCCTACCTATTTGGTTCAAGGCTAGCACTCTACCACTTAAGCCATGGCTCCACTTCGGCTTTTTGTGATTAGCTGGAGATAAGAGCCTCACAGACTTTCTTTCCAGGTTGATTCTGAGCCACAATCTTCACATCTCAACCTTCTGAGTAGCAAGGATTACAGACACTAGTACCTGGCCTGTTTGTACTTTTTGAGAGCCTAATATCAACCCAAAGCCCTTCATTCCTGGAATAACTTTTGAATTCAGATGGGAATCCTATATTACATAAGCAAGTCTTAAAACACTAAGCAAATCTCACAATAATATACCACCAATTACGACTCTATTTTTTTTGTCAGTTGTGGGGCTGGACACTGTCCCTGAGCTCTTTTGCTCAAGGCTAGCACTCTACCATGTTGAGCCACAGCACCATTTACAGTTTTTGAGTGGTTAACTGGGGATAAGTCTCACAGGGACTTTTCTGCCCCAGATAGCTTTGAACCATGATCCTCTGATCTCAGCCTCCTCAGTAGCTAGGAATATAGATATGAGCCACCAGTGCTCAGCTTGAATCTTAACAACACTTAAAATTATCTTTGCTAGTAATATCTTTTGTCCTTCATTTTTTATATTTGCTTAGTATCTGTTATCAAGAGTTTTAACCATTAACCATCATCTGCATTAGAAATCTCATTAATTATAGTTATAAAAGCATCCATATATTTATGTTCACAATTAGTATTTATATCTATGTCTCTCTAGCGAGTTCGTTAGTTTGAAGCCATTTTCTATGATAATCCCTTAGAAATGCATGCAGAAATATTATTACTTGAATTGCTTTATGTGTTTAACAGTCAGTTTGGCTGGATAGAGTATCCTAGACTCTGAGCTTCTTTCCTGCCTAAAACATGTTCCTATATTTTTCTTTTGTCATAAACATTTCCATTGAAAAGTCTAATCATGATACAATTTTCTTTTCCTTCTGAATAGAAGAGCATTTTTGCTGAGAAGTACCCCACAAAATATTTGAAGCACAATAATTTTCCTGATGTATAACTTGATACTGTTCATTATGGGTTGATATTCTCAGACAATCATGAGCCTTTTTTTGGTCTATTTTCAATATTTGCCAGTTTATCTCAACTCTGTTAAGGTATTTTTTTCATTTTAAAGAAAATTGCTCTTGTTTTGTTCTATTTATCTTAGCTATTACTTGCATTTATTTAATCGTGTATTTCTGCTAGTGCTCATTTCTGAAATATTTTTCTTTTATTTCTAATTCTTCAGTTTTGTCACTTCATTCTTGAATCTTCTAATGTGAACAATGATATTCTTCAATATTTTATATCATTTCCTTAATGTTTTCTGGCTCATTTTGTAAGTATTTTATAGACAACTTTTTTTCTCCCCCTTAAGCACCTTTGCTTAGATGGACTTCGCTCACTTCTTGTTCTCCTGGTTTGTTTTCACCGTTACTTTGCACAAGCTTCTATTTTAACATAGTTCCCCATTCACGTTTATGTTCAAATCCCTTTCTAATTTTATAAAATAAATTCTATTTTCTAGGTAATGATTAAAATCAAATAGCAAGTTTCTGAGAGTTCCTGGTTCCATTTCTTCTCTTTACTTATGTCTAGACTTTGTTTTATTTCTGCTGCTGCTCTCTTGATTGACTTTGATTTTATTCCCAGGCGTTAATCCTCAGTGGGAATTCCTTTCCTGGAAAGAGGTCTGGGTGAGGAAGCTTTTATCCTCAAATCTGCCCACCAGAGTTTACAGTGAATGCCTGGGAGCCATTTGGGACTCACCTTTTCAGGTCTCTCTGATGTTTTCAGGTTCCTTCTGCCCTTTTCCATTCAGACATCAGTAGATTCCAGATCTTCTGCTTCTTGGTGAAATGTGTCTCACCTGCTTTTACTTTTAGATTCGTGGGAAGTAACCTCTCTTGGGTTTTGTGTTAACTCTTGTCCATGGATCTTGGCTTTACCTACCATCTTTCAGACTGTTCCATTTGATTCTATATGATGATTTAGGAAGAGCTCCTAAACCATTCGCCCATTTCCTTCCTCCCCAAATTAATATACTATTTCATTAAGCTTTGAGGAGGGACCAATACAGTGCCAGCTGTGGACCCACAGTCTCAAGAAAGAACAGGAAGAGTGCTAAAGTAGGTCTTTGGGCCCGTCCTCATAAAACTTGCACTCTAATAATGCCTATAGTAATCAAAACAAAGCCAGTTATCATTCCCTATGCTATCATAAGAATCACAGAATGTTATGGAGTATAAGAAGAAGACAACTATTTTACAATCGCTTTGTTATAAAATAAAACAAAGATCAGTTGAGGCCAAATATTTAATTTCTCTGATTTCCCTGTAATGTAATTTATAGATAGAAATTCAGTTATAGAGAATTAACTAGTAATAATAGTCCTGATCATTATTCTGCCTAACTTTTCTTACTTAGAAGTAATCATTTTTATTTAGCTTAAGGAAAACTGGTTTGGATTTATCAGTCAGGAAAGAAATCATTTAATTAATTAACAAATGTATTTAGAGAATTTACTACACTCAAGGAAGTAGTTTATGTATATTTACTTAGGGTGATAGCTTATTTAACATTATCAAAATGTACCTATTTAGCTATTTTAAACTTAGTTACAGGAAAGAGTTTGTTTCCCGTGGGTATAAATGGCTAGCGATGGTTGTAATCCTGTATGTAGATTAAATTTCTGGCCCTATAATGCATATATTTAGTGAGCAAGCTACAAAATAACATGCCAACAAACAGACAAGTACACAAAGTCATTGATAAAATAAGTTTTGATTGTGATAAGTTTGTGAAATACACACACACACACACACACACACACACACAGGGTGATATGATGAAGCATGACCAGAGAAAGAAGATTCAGGCAGGATGGCAATGCCTAGCTTTGTGCACAGAGCTAAGAAAGAACGAGTGACATGAATCCTGAACCCCCAAATTATTACTTTTCCTTCAATAGTATTCTCTTCTGAGATTGGACAATCCTATATTTACCTCCACTTTTAATATTTCTTGTAGAAATCAATGAGCCACGTGGGATTCCTCACTTTCCCAAAGTACACTATCCTTTGAATCCACTTATTTTTCCCAGGTTTAACCAATGTCAGAATTTCTTCTATCTATTGGTT